AGAACCCTTGTAGATTGTTGGTGGGAATGTAAATTAGTACAACCACTGTGGAGAACAGTTTGATGATTCCTCAGAAAATGAAATATTGACCTACCATATGACCCAGCAACCCACTGCTGGGTATATATCTAAAAGAAAGGAAATCAGTATACCAAAGAGATATCTGCACTGCTATGTTTGTCAAAGCACTGTTTATAAAAGCTAAGATTTGGAAGTAACTTAAGTGTCTATCGACAGATGAATGGATAAAGAATAGGTGAGTTGGGCACAGTGGCTCATGCCTGTTATTCCAGCACTTTGGGAGGCCGAGGCAGGTGGATCACCTGAGGTCAGGTATTGGAGATCAGTCTGGCCCACATGCTGAAACCCCATCTCTACCAAAAATACAAAAATTAGCTGGATGTGGTGGTGCACACCTGTAATCCCAGCTACATGGGAGGTTCTTAATCCAGTCTATCATTAAAAAGTCAGGAAACAACAGGTGCTGGAGAGGATATGGAGAAATACGAACACTTTTACACTGTTGGTGGGACTGTAAACTAGTTCAACCGTTGTGGAGGACAGTGTGGCAATTCCTCAGGGATCTAGAACTAGAAATACCATTTGACCCAGTGATCCCATTACTGGGTATAGACCCAGAGGATTATAAATCATGCTACTATAAAGACACATGCACACATATGTTTATTGTGGCACTACTCACAATAGCAAAGACTTGGAACCAATCCAAATGTCCATCAATGATAGACTGGATTAAGAAAATGTGGCACATATACAGCATGGAATACTATGCAGCCATAAAAAGGATGAATTCATGTCCTTTGTAGGGACATGGATGAAGCTGGAAACCATCATTCTCAGCAAACTATTGCAAGGACAGAAAACTAAACACCACATGTTCTCACTCATAGATGGGAATTGAAAAATGAGAACACTTGGACACAGAACAGGGAACATCACACACTGGGGCCTGTTGTGGGGTTGGGGGACAGGGAAGGGATAGCATTAGGGAAATACCTAATGTAAATGATGAGTTAATGAGTGCAGCACACCAACATGGCACATGTATACATATGTAACAAACCTGCATGTTGTGCACATGTACCCTAGAACTTAAAGTATAATAAAAAGAAAAGAAAAGAAAAAGTGTCCACCAAATTTGGCAAAGTAGAGGTTGTTCATAACTTGATAAGCAGTTTCAACGGATTGGTGAGAATGGAGGCAAGATTGAATTTGAGTGAAGTTTAGAGCGTCCAATAGGTAAAAACAAACCAGTTGCTTAGGAAAGTGTAATCCTTCCAGACACTGAGACCAAAAATGTTTTCCCTTGGGACCTCTTATGCCCAGAATGTAAGGTTGTACACAACATCTTCAACAACATCTCTACAATAAGCACAATGTTTTATAGAGTAGCCCGTTAATATTGGACATCAGAGAGATCATAGAGGGCTTTCTTCATTGGGTGAAAATTTGAGCTAAATGATTATTTTATTGGTATATAGCTATTACATATAATAATTCCATATAATTACCATATACGCTTATTGAAATGAACTAAAAGGATTTAGTTCAATGCAAGAGTCTATTAATTTGGGATATCCCTTTCCTGGAAAAGGCCTAGACACACTTTAAGAAGTCATCTTGTAGTGGTCATAACCTAAACATATGAACTAAGTTAAGTATTTATCATCTCTAGCAGCTGAAGGAAATATGGGAGTGTCAATTATAGTTGAGTGAAAAAAAATAGCTGTGTAAGAGAGAAGACACATTAAAGGTCAAAACCCTAAATATATACACATTTCAGGAAAATTGTCAAGGAAACCGCACCAAAAATTTGTCAAGACCAACCGGAGAAAAGGTCATTTTAGAGGCCCTAAAGAATTGCACGGACCGGGACACTTCAGGTACATAGGTTGCTGGCTTGATTCAGCTGTTTTCAATATAGAAGCTGAGACATGATCAGTAACCTGCTTTCCTCCACAGGGAGCCTGAGTGCTCAGGCAGACTTACTCTCCAGCCAATAAGAAGCAGAAGATGGCTTCTTACATATCCCAGGAACAATATTCTACTCTCTATTAACCTCACTGAGCAGTTAATAGAAAAAAAAATCATATTTGTGATTTAAAATTTTAATACCATTTTAAAAGTTACACAGATCATGTAACTGCACTCTAACAGTAAGAGTGCAGACTGTAAGGACAGGTTGATTGCAGTCCTCACCTTTAAATGGCTCTATAACAGTGGGCAGTTAGCATCCTTAGCCTTCAGTTCTCTGATCTGTGAAATGGGAGGATAATAGTATATACCTTAAAGGGATATTGTGAAGAGTAAATCTGGCAGTACCTGGGACTATTACTATATGTTAAAAATATTCTAGACAACATCATGTTTTAAGAAGTATTTTTCCTGAAATTGGTAACTAGAGAAAGCAAAAGGCATTAAATAACCCACTTTCTAAACTTCCAGTAGGGAGGCAACCTCTTTCCCACCCAGTTTGCACTACAACTCCCTTCCTCGCCACAGGAAAGTCAATTTGAAGTGAGGGGTCTGTTAGGGAATGCAGGGAAGACAAACATTCCAGTGGTTCTTTGCCCCAAAGATGACAGAGGAAAGCCTCATGAGGATTGAAAAGTTTGAGTGTGTATATAGGACCAATTCTTTTAGTCCAGTTAAATATCACGAGTCACCAGGCCTGCTAACTTGCCTTGGAACTACCACAGAGAAGGAAAAACTTCGGAGGGTGATGGTGCAGTGGTATGGCCTGACAGAGAGGGGGCAAGCATACCACCTTTAGTTCTAGGTTCCTGAGATGTGCAGAAGGTAGAACCCAGCCACTTGAGAGCTGGGGTCCTGGAAGGTAGGTGAGATTGAAGGACAAAGACTGACTGCAAACCAATGAATGAGGCAGAGCACCCTCTGGGGCTTAGGGGAACTGGTGGGGTTCAGTAGGCCTCTCCTCGGTCAGCCCTGTGCACTGGCTCCTGTCTACACTGCTGCTGCTGGTAGTGAACTAGACAGTGGGGATGACCCACAGAAAGGGACAGAGCCGCTCTCTGGCCACTCACACAGGACATCATTTCCCTCTCAAATGAACATATACAGGGAATCGGGGGGTTAATAAAGACCTCACCTTCTCCCCAAAACTACCAGAGTCTCTAGTTTGAATTGTGGTGATAGGAGGAAAATATCTAAGTGTTTCTAACAGAACTGAGATATTAGTAATGGGAATTCACTGATGAGCTTGGAATCAGGTTAAGATGTGGTCAAGGGAGCCACTTAGCCAGAGAGAAACAGGGATTAGCAGAAGAGAGTTAGAAATCAATTAACTGGAAAAATAAGCCTGTCATACATTACGGATTTGACATTCCTCATCTATTCAGTTGCAGTTATTATCTGAAAACTCATCTTCCTTTTCCTAGCTAGTCTCTTGTCTCTTGTTATTGGCTTTGTGGTCACATTATCTATTTTGAAGATTTTCAAATCTTTTTGTTTTCTCCCCATATAATCATGGTAATGGAATATAAAATGCCTAAGACACGAATAGGAATTCATATGTCCTTGTTTGCTTCCTTACAACTTTATCACAAATCTTTCCAGGACAGCACACATTTTTAATAACTTATATGTTCTTATAATTATAATATAGATCCTTTGTAAACATACGAACTGCAAAAACAGAAGAATGTAAAAGTCACCCATATTTTAACATCCAGATATACTCTGGTTAATGTTTGCTGTATATTATTCCTAACTTTTTAAGTCATAGGTAAACTTTCTTAAAAATTAAAATGTGTCAGATTACACAAACTGTTTTGTAAACCGCTTTTTCATTTTCAGCCTCTAGAAGAGTGCCTGGCACATCCTAAGTTTTCAATAAATATTTATTAAGTAAATGACTGAACTTATTTCCATGACATTAAATGTTTATCTGTGGTGTCATTTTTAACCATTGCACAGAATTCCACTGTGTGAAATATGATAATTTATCTAATCAGGCCCTGGAGAACTGCAGAGGAATAAGGCATTGTGATGGACACAGAGGTGCTCCATGCAGTCCCCCTTCAAGAGGGAGCTTGCCCTGCTGCTGGGAGTACTTGCAACCTCCAGCCTCCAGTTATCAGCCCCTTTCAGGACATGCCTCAGCTACAGAAAGCTGCCTTCCCAGGGCAACCCACATTAAAGGGCAGATGATAGAGGAGCCCAGTGGCAGAGCTACATTGACAGGCCATCTTCCTCCAGAGTTTCCCAAGGGGAACTGCTTCAGACTGTCCCACCTATATTGCAGCTCAACTTCTTTCTCTGCCCAGTCCTGTTTCTTCCCTGTCCCTGCCATAGGTGTTCCTCTCAGGGCACTCCCTAATAAATATATTGAACACTAAATTTTGTCTCAAAGTCTGCTCCTGAACAATCTAACCTGAGACAGAGATGATGCTGACCCTTGAGGAACTCCCAAGTCTATTGATTAAAGCACTCAGTAAATTCTAACATTACTGCTGTTACCAACTCCTAACTCAGGTTAAACAAGCTATGGTGCATGTATACTACGATAGGTCATGCAGCCATTAAAATGATGCTCTGGGTGCCATGTATAACACATGATGGCTCCCGAAGTCAGGAAAGAAGGAAAAAAAGAAAGGAAGGGAAGAGAAGAGAAAGGAAAGGGAGGAAGGAAGAGGGAAGAGAAGAATTGGACATCAGATAATCACTTGAGCCCTCTCTCTTTGCCTGAATTTTTCTCAATCTGTTTGTTTCCACATCTCTTGCTCCTTATCGGTCTTTGGGCTACCTACTGTATGAGCATTACTTGGGCAATGACTATCTCCATGAATTTGCCTATGCAAGGGTTATAGAAACTAAAACTGGACATGGCCCTGCACAGGTAAGCACATATCAGTATCTCCGCGAGCGGTCAGGACTAACAAGCCTTTAACACACAAAAGCAGGAGTAAGGATCAAATTACACTAATAAAATAAATCAAAATAAAAGCCCTGAGTTTGTATTCCAGTAAAGTCCAGACATAGGAGGGATCCAGGCAAGCAATGAGTGTGGCTGTCAAGGTGCTTCCATCTGTCAGAGTCACACATTCCAAAGCAGCAGAAATCTACTGACAGCCTCCGGTTACTCCCCGGTCTCAGCGAGGCAGGGCAGGCAGCGGCAAGCTCAGCCCATGTGAGGTGCTTCCTGCCAATCACAGACCACCCTTCCCTGGTCCTGGAGGTTCAAAGAATTGCAGGAGAGTAGAAAAGCACCTGGGGCTGCTGCAGACTGCGGAGCGGGCCGCACCCTGTGTGCAGAAAGAGGAGGCGCTGTGAGTAGACTGCTTTCCCTCTACAGGGAATCCCGCGGGCTCAAGGGTTGGGTTGCTCTCCTGGGAGGGAAGCTAGTGGTCTGGGAGCGAAAGGGGAAGAAGTTAGATTCCTGATTCATAAAGTCTGTCATTTTTTTCTTTGTAATTTAGGGTATTGTGACTGTCCTGTTCTCTTTTACTTTGAACCGTTCAAATTGCTTTCTTAAAACCTTTGATATAAGTCTTGTTCTCATTAAAGTTCTGGAGATGTTACGCAGCCATCCTGCTTTCAACCTGAAATATCCCCAAAGAAAGAACAAGAAAATCCAAGCACCTGAGAAACCCTGTATCTCCTGATTAAATCGCACATAGACAGACACCTTTGTAGACCCCCAATTTCCTTGTGGAGTCAGAAAAGCGATAGAAAATTTAACGAAATAGCTCGTGTCATTTCTGAATAATCCGTTCAGGCTAGCAGAGAGAAAGTTTCTTGGTCTTCTTGTCAGAAATCATTTGGTCCTGCCAACTTGTAATGAAATGTGTGAGGCAATTTACTCCCAGTTATTCTCTGCAAACACTTCTGCTTAATAAATGTGTCAGTTGAAGTAAGTCAACAAAGTAGCTTTATCTATGCAATGTTATTTTTACATAATTTGTTTTTACTCCTTACCAATTCTTTGTTCCACAAGGATGTGCAGGACATAAAGATATTTTTCGTTCTAATGACATTTTCATACAAAATACAAATTTAAGTTTCAAATAATGCTAGTATTATTTATGTTTGCTTTTGTTTATAAACCTAAAACTCCACTTCTAACTAGTTTTAAAGATTTTTAAGCCATTTAAGAATTTGTAGCCAGTTGCAGTGGCACATGCCTCCAGTTCCAGCTATTCGGGAAGCTGAGGCCATGGGATGAGGAGTTCTAGTCCAGGCTGGGCAACAAGTGAGATCCTGTCTCTAAAAAAATATAAATAAATTTTTAAAGAAGTTTTGTTAATTCGAATGTCTTCTTTTAATGAAAGACAATGTGTCTTGACCATTTCTTGCCTGAGTTGCTAAGCACAACAGGAAATAACTCGCTAGGTTTTATAGATATATATATATACTTTGAGTATAAATAAAATTTAGGTTACATAGTTTTCAGACCCTGTGAAGAAGTGGATTTTCTTTTTATTAACCTTTTCAGTGAGGAGAAAAATTTCTTACTTTGCTTTTGCTCCAACAGATTGTTTTGCTTTCTGCTGTAAAATAGTCTTTAAAATCAACTCACCTATTTTTTTTTTTAAACTGCTGGGAAGAATCATAGACTTTTACATTCAAAGGGGACCTTAGACATCCTTTAATCAAGGAGAAAAAAAAAAAAACTCAGAACTAGTTTTTGGTTTTTTGTTTGTTTGTTTTTTTTTTGAGACAGAGTCACTCTGACTCCCAAGCTGGAGAGCAGTAGTGCGATCTCAGCTCACTGCAAGCTCTGCCTCACGGGTTCACACCATTCTCCTGCCTCAGTCTCCCAAGTAGCTGGGACTACAGGTGCCCACCACCACAACCGGCTAATTTTTTGCATTTTTTAGTAGAGACAGGGTTTCACTGTGTTAGCCAGGATGGTCTGGATCTCCTGACCTTGTGATCCACCTGCCTCAGCCTCCCAAAGTGCTGGGATTATAGGCGTGAGCCACAGCACCTGGCCAAAACTCAGAACTTCTTTTTGACTTCTCCTGCTTACGTTCTTAACCAGAGTAAACACCAGTCAGCCTTTAAATATGCTCTGGAATTTGGGCCTGATAGCCATGCAGGCCGCCCACAAACTCGATGGGCCACCATTCGCCAACTGGGACAGAGACCACATTGGCGAGGGGCACCGTCATCACACACCACCCTCCCCGCCTCGTCCCCCTGCCCCAAGGATTCTCCACGGTACTCCTTTCCTGGAGCTGGGCATCCCTCTGGCAATGCCCACACCTGAGGCCTTCATGCAACTGAGTGCTCCTGAGCCATTGCTTACAGCTAGTCCCTGATTTCCAATAGATGGATGACTCTCATCATACTGGGAGCACCAGGAATCAAGAGTAGTGCTGTCCAGTAAAACTTTCTGTGATGAGGGAAATGTTCTAGACAATAGACACTAACCACATGTATCTAGGGAGTGCTTGAGATGTGGTTGGAGCAACTGAGGAACTGGTTTTTACTTTTATTTGAATTCATTTGACTTTGAATAACTGCACGCAACTACTAACTACTGTATTAGTGAATACAGGTTTTGAGCTTTAAAGCAAGAAAAACTTATGGGCACTGTGAGCTGTGGGTGACGGCCCTGGGAGAAAGCTCCTCTTTTTGTTATTTCCAGGGACTTATCCTACCTTAAATTGAAGCAGACCAGCAATTGTTGTGACCTACAGTCTCCATACCCATCTTTACTCTGAGCCACGCAAGTGTCTGTTCTTGTCCTGAGTTTCAGGGTCAGGGCTAAGGCAATAGCATATTGTGTTTCTTCGTTTCTTCCTCTCCTATTTTTCTTTTTCTTTTTTTCTCCTTTGTTAATTCAAATTTCTCTAGCATGAACTAGAGTTTGAGGTGTGGTTTGTGTGTTCTCTGGTGCAACAAACTTGGGTGAGGAAAAGAGGTAATGAACTTGAAAAAATGATCTCATGCTTACTGGGCGAGTCACACTTCTTTTTCTTCTGCTTTGCAAATTCGTTTGTTTAGTGAGCAATTGTTTTTAGAGCTTTTCAATGTATCTGGAAACATCAACACTATGGGTATGATTAATTTTTATAAGAAAACAAACTGAATGAAAGCACAAGAAAGAAAAAACAGGAAATATAATTCTAGTTTTTTAAAAATCTGCACTCTTTAAAGCAAAGGAACTCCCAGGGTGTTGAGCAATTTGAGTAAATCACCATCGTACCAGGCCACAGGGCAGTTTTCCCACAGGGCGGGGTGCCTAGGGGCTATTCCTTTACATGGAAAATATTTCTAGGTGAGTTGCGTACTTTCAGTCTGGGGCGTTCCATCTCTAACGTGGGCAGTTGCTGCTCTGCCCTCTGCCTTCCACCACTTTCCACTTGTTAGATTTATCTCATCCCATTGGTTTCCTTCCCACCCCTGCCAGATAAATAATCCAATATATGTGAGGGAGGCATTGGTTTAGAATAATGTGGGGACGGTTCAGAAGACCACATATTTAAAACAGCTTCTACAAACTGTGGGCTAAAAAAGAAGGCAGGAAGGAAGACACATCATATCATTAGAAGTCAGTCTAGCCACAGAGACAGACCCAAACCCCCAAATCATAAGTTATGAGGTTTGTCTTTTTAGGCTCTACCCTCTCCTTGTGTCTCTTTCCTTCTCATGGTGTCTTCCCTCACCCTTTGAAAATTAAATAAGAGAAGGGAGCTGATAAATGAGGCATTGATATGGATGGCTCATGAAACTCAACATGCCTCTTTTATATGAGCTTGTATTTTAATCAGGAACGAAGGAGTGAGTCTCAAGTTGTGGCATTCTGAAGTTAGGGTAAACGGTAAGGAAGCCTTTGAATGAAGGAAGAGGATAGAAGGCTTTCTCCCTGCCAGCTTTGTTTATGTGGCTCCCTTTCTGGCTTACCTTGTAGTGAGTCTCATGGATAGGCTCACGGGTGGGAGGCCAAGAGTTTCTCTTAATTTAAAGAGACAAAAAGGGGAAGTGGATCTCCCTACCTTAAAAAGAATAATGATTGGTGACAAACCCAATAGAAGGCTGGGTTAAGAGTTATGAAACCTGGACTTGAATCTTAACTCTTTTAATAACACGGCATGATCGTGAACAAGTCGCTTCCTCTCTATGAGCCTTAAATTCCTCACCTGTACAAAGCCTCCAAGTTTGCAGCCAGAACTGATGTATCATGCTATGAACAGGCACCTGGCCAATAACTTTCCTAGGATAAATGACACTTTAATTTCTCTCAAATTACGTATCTTCTAAGACAAACAAAAACTTCCAAAAGTGTAGTCATTGACTTCTAAGTGTGACACCCATCAATTAATTTAAAAGTTTTTAATTTGCTTTTTAATGCAATTCTTTGTCAAATTGGTTTTTTGATAGCAATCCATTTTTTGTGGGTTCAGAATATCTTATTAAACAAACTTGGGTGAAGAAAAGACGTAACAACATACCAGACTATATGGCTGTGACAGAGGCTAGTATGGAAGAAAAGCCATGAACACATATCCACAATGGTTTGAGCTTCCCTGGAGAGCTAGTTGCTAAAGGCAGAGAGAGGGATATAGGGAAGGAAGGATAATTCTGGGAAGTTGAGGAGGGAAGAGGTTTTTCAGTTGGGCTTCGGAAGATGGTAAAGAGTTCGATAAGCAGAAATGGGAGAAGGGATTCCAAAGACAGGGACACCCTAAGCATAGCATGGTGGCATGACCAGGACACCAAGGGGGGTGGGCAGTGAAAAATGGCAGGCAGGCCATTTGGAACCTGGACGAGTACTGCCTTGAATACAGGCTGAGGAGTTTGTACTTTATCTTTTAGGTGGTCCAACCACTCTTCCACTGGCTGAATGGAGAATAAAATAGTTGACTCTGGCCAAATACTATAAACTGGTCTTTCACAATGGAACAGGAGCAAATCTGGATTCAAAGAAACTGGTCAGCAACAGAGAGTGGGTGGACAAGTGATGCACCTGGCAATAGGAAGTAAGAAGGAGCTGGTACTGGGCTCGTGAGTGTAGAGGGAATGACCTAGGGCTCTCCTTTAAATTTAGGCTACAGGGAACCTTTGAAGGGTTTTAAGCAGTGGGGGAGATATAAATTCAGAGCTGTGTTTTAGGACAATGGATCTCAAGATTGGCTAACTGGCTGGCACTTGGAAGCCATGTTTATCTTTGTGGAATACCAGAACATTTTGGTCTACTAAATTTAAAATAAGTAAGTAGATCATTTTGGCCTAAATTCATACCAAAAACTAGATTCTAGCATAGACAGGTGGTAGTAGCATCCACAATTTAAGAAAAATGTATAAGAGGAAAATGTTTAAA